ACACCCAAAAATCCAGTCGATAATGCTTTACGACATGCTAAGGCTAAGTATTATCGCACTAAAATAGCTCTAGGGATGGGAATAGCCGTAATAAGCCAGGGTTTAGATCCAATGGCAAAATTACTTGAAATACGGTGGTGTCGATTTACCATGGATGACGCGCGTCGGCCAATGATTCATCAAAAACCTAGAAAACAAGTTCCAATGGGAGCCGGGAAGGGGGTGCAGAAGTGTAAAAACAATACATCATGCAGCAGGTTATATAAGCAATTCACCTACAGTCACAACTTTTCAACTACAGCGCTTAGTATTTATCAAATACGTCGGATTTTAGTTATTTCAAATTTTCAAACCAGAACGAGACTTTTCAAAATAAATGCAAAACCAAAAAATTACCGCTATATATTTTTGAGTAACATTATTTGTTAAGCTACATAAAGTATAGTGTTTTACGACGTTCTATGAATAGCACGATAAACCAACAATCAACGAACGAAAATTTTCCAAAAATCGTTTGGCGATTTAGTGTATCCTGAGGATGATACAAAATCATCGCATTCCCAACGGCCATTTGAAGGCTGAACTAGCCAATGAACGTAGCCTCCAATAAATGCCGCGTGATTAAATAAGCGATCTTTGATGGGATAACCACCATGATGCCATTTACCTACAAAATACTTTGATTGATAACCCCATCGGGAACACTGACTGGCCAAAATTGAATTGTCATCGGGTAAACGATAATAAGATCCACAACTATTGGGAAGGGTGTTCGACTGAGCAGCAAAATACTTAATAACTTGTTGACCAAGATTGTTGGTTTTATTTGTTGCGATATCAAAGACTCGTCCCGGAGTCGTTTTTCGACAAAAAAATCTGACTTGATTGAACGACATTTTCGATCCCAAGTCACGAAGAGCATATGTTGAAAGAGCGAGCTTTTGGTTTTCGTATTCACTAATTTGACGATAATCATTCTGTAGAGACCAATCCATTCCATTCGAATTCTTTAGAACGAGGTTACTAACCAATGTCCAGCCACCTATAAACAAATAGAGCTTTTACCCCTGAACAGGCATACATATATATATATATATATATATATATATATATATATATATATATATATATATATATATATATATATATATATATATTTAAAAAGTTTGTAATCCAAGCATATTTGTTTATCAATGAATGTTCTCCGGATTTAAAATTGTTTTTTATTGAGCTTTCGACTCGGTACTTCGAGTCTTCTTCAGAATATCTAAATTATTTACATGTGTATAGCTTTATATATTACAGAGTCTTAAAGAACAGCGCGAAACTTAAATATATAAAGCTATACACATGTAAATAATTTATTCTGAAGACGCTATTCTGAAGAAGACTCGAAGTACCGAGTCGAAAGCTCAATCAAAAACAATTTTAAATCCGGAGAACATTCATTGATAAACATACATTCATTGATAAACATATATATATATATATATATATATATATATATATATATATATATATATATATATATATATATATATATATATATATAATAAATATATATATATATATATATATATATATATATATATATATATATATATATATATATATATATATATATATATATATATATATTAATAATGTTTTGAGAAAATTGGAAGTACCCCAAAAACGTCATCGTGAGAAAGGCTAATTCCACTAACCCTTATGAAAATTCCCGATAGGATCCCATAGGAATTCCTACAGGAATGTAAATATCCTATAGGAAAAATTATTCACATTCAAATTCCTATAGGAAAACCTATAGGAGTCGAAATTATAAATATTTCCAATCGGAAGTCCTCGGTTTTGTTTTGCAAAAATAGTTACACCCAAAATCAAATTTTTCCGCTTTCTAATGTGAAAAAAGTAACTCGAGCAAATTATTGTATTGCAACGTTACAGGATACCTCCGTCAGCTTTCATGTCACAGTATACTTTTAGTGGTTTATTGTCCAATTTAATCCAGTATTCTCCATTTCCCAAAGATACTGTTTTTGCTCGCTGAAGAATGTCCAAACAGGATTTTCCAGGATTGCTGTATCCACCAACCTTTGAACGAATTTCACATTTATAATGTATCAAAAGCAAAAGAAATTAGAAAAATTATTTTTGTGTTAATTTCATGGTAATCTAGGATATTGGTGATGTTACTGTCTTACACAGTATATGGTACGTATGATGATATTTTGATAAGTTATTGTGGTTTTACGTGTTGTGTCGTTTTCCTAAGATTTTTCTGGGATGGCTTCTTTATTAACCGGCTCTCCTTAAAGATTAAAACCGGGAAACGCGGAATCGGAGAAAATTGATGAATGGAAAAAATTATTATTAATATTATCACTTTTGAAGAGTAGCTCATGTGACCAATTCTACCAAAAGTGGATGGTGTTGCTTAATCATTGCGTCCTAAAGAAAGTTACAACACTTCGGAAAGAGGCAAAGACTTTATCTTACAAATTTCTTTTAAAAATTTATATAAAATTTTTCAAATTGTTACATTAAAACTTTTCTCACCCAATAATTCGTAACGAACCTTTCCAATATTTTTAACTCATAAAACTCAACACGGGCGATTGTGTGTAGTTCAGCATTTAGTTTTTGAATCATCTACTGTACTTCGAGTTTGCAGTGAATTTACAGCACCGGCATAATACAGCTTACTTTTAATATAGATTTGACTTCAGCTAACTGCGTCTTTGTTCCCACCATGCTTTTGTTTAACGCTTTCCATAGTGTTTCTGAAATTATGAAATAAATAATGTACACTAATTGGTTTGCATGACTGCAAGTAAGAGCCGTTTCACCATGCTCTTTCTTGGAGAGATTTTGGCAATCTAACTCCATTATTTGTGTTATATATAATTATACAACAACTCGTATGCGTCATTGAAAATGTCGTACTTTTTGTCCAGCTTTATTATTAACCATGCAGTGAACAGTACAACAATCTTTAATGTTCTTTTTTTTATTCTTTTTCTTTGCACAAGAGCTCTTTGCCCATGCACAAGTATAAAATGTCGGGTGCGGGTAATTCGCGGGAAAATGAAGAAAAAAGCAATTGCATGTGGAATTATAATGAATTATACTCATACCAAATTTCCTGAGTAATTTCTCATTTTTCTCAAGAGATTTGTTAAGCTCCTCTTTCATCTCAAGCACCTGGGCATAAAGATATTAATACATATTATATTATATATGGAATGCAATATTAATACATACAGAATACACTGCTGGTTATACAGGGATATATTACAAGGTACATATGCAGGCTTTACGAAACCCGCCAAATGCAGCACCAACGACGTTACATAGGCGGCACTGATTCAAGGTTTTACAAGTAATATTAAAAACATTTAATTTTTTAACTTTTTAATTTTCAAATTTTTAATTATATAAGTTCTCGTATTCATCGAGCAGGCGCGAATTTCCCTGCGAGGATACTCTATTTCAAGGCTAGTATTAAAATCAAAATATTATCATATTGTTTAGCAATGCTTACATTATTTTGCAAATAATGTAAAAAAATTATTATTATAATTATAAAAAAAAATTGCATTTCAATGGGTCAGCAGTTTAACTCTCATTTCTGCAAACAATTTGTAAAAATATAAGGTATTTAAAAAAGGGCTTTAAAAAAAGTAAGGATAAAATTAATTATAAACCGAGAACCCTTAATTGGGGAGAAGTTGGAGCGTATAGTGCATTAACTTTGAGTGCTTTAGAAATCTTATATGATCGCACTGTTGTTCGTAAATAAATTATATTATGAAATGACTATATAAAATTAATATATAGCCGATACTGGCTGATGTTTCAAATTCTTTGGAAACAAACAAAGTCATATAAAACGTGAAGTGAAATCACCAATTTTCCTGTTGCATTATATAGCTATGTTAGGTGAGAGTTACATTAATACTTCACTATAAACCTTCAAAACAATAAAACAGCACAAATAATTTAAATCCCTAACACTAAACGTCGAATTTTCGATTATTGAATTCATGCAGAGATTGTTGTCGATTCTATAAAAGCTTTAAAATGATATCTTCAGTTTACATAAAAACTACGAACTACACTTTGAATAATTCGTTTTGAAGTTAAAACGAAGATGTAGAGCTTTTTAAAAATAGTCGGTTAGGTTATCGCAAAACGACATACCAAGCCATACCTAAATAACTCAATGAGAACAAAATGCATTCTTACAGAAATTCGAAAAAAACAAAATAGACAGTCACCTACCAATTCAAGGATTATAGACTACGAGTCCTTCCGCTTTTTGCCGCAAGTATTGAATTTTTAATTTCTTCCCAGTGTTTGTATCATTTTGTTTGATTCCACATTTCATATTTTGTTGACGAAACATTCTGAAGTTTAATCTTAACATTCAAAATTGTGAAGTTTAATCTTGGCAATGCCAAGTGGTGAGTATTATTTTAACCTTTGAAATAATCACTATCCAGTGGATAACTTTATCCGCCTTTCGAACAACCGGTCCCTGCCGTTTTTCATTGTAATACAAACTTTTTGTCTTAGCCAATCAGAAATTTGCTGATTACCAGTCTTACCAGTTTTTACTCGTTCAAATTTTGCGCATGCGTGCAATTACCATGACCATTGAACGTGCAAAGTCCATGACATTTTGGACAACTTTGGATTCCGCTATGTTCTCCCGGGTTCCTGGTCGGCTCGCAGCTCGGAGAATATTACATTTTATTCATAATTGGTTTAATTCATAATTGTAAAAAGCGGTGTTTATCCTTAACTGAACTTGTAAAACAGGCTATTACTACCTATTCTATTTTTAATAAATCAATATAATATGGGCATGTCTTTTACCCATTATTATTCCCCGTGGGAAAAGCTAATTTATTACAAAGCTTCCTAATAATGAAACTTGCCTCTTCTTCTTCTGCTAAAGGGTGTAGTTTCTCATGTTTTGTTACATAAACTTTCTCCGTGTCCTGACGGTACACAATCATACCATCGATTAAAGGAGTTTTTGCTGCCGTCGTATTATCTGGAATAACCAGCATCTAAGACGAAAGATAAAAAATTGAATAATGTGTTCAAATGGTTAATGGAAAAAATCTTGGTCTGATATTTCACAGTACAGATCGAACAACTGAGGTTATCGGTTCATTATATGACTGAACCTCACGAGACATCCGGGAAACTGGTCTAGATGCGGAATTAATTATATGGACCACGGTCCGAATATGGGTTTTACGGACCGCTCGTCAAACAATCCAATAGAAAATTTTGATAAGTAATTACTTTCTGTTAAATTTGTCTGGAAAAGAAACTTCCTTAGTATTGAAGTGTGTCCAAGAAAACACTTTGTTTTTAGCTATAGGGATTAATATGGTATTTTTATAAACGGCTTTGGTAATGCCATTGTTTCGATGGTAACATGCAAATTCGCAAACACGAAAATATTCGGATTCCCTAAGCGCATAATAAATAATAAACGCCGTGGTAAAAGGTAATATAATTCTTACCCCACCGTACAAGAGTGCTTTTCCTGTTCTATCGCACCGACCCTGTTAAGAATCATTAATATATCTGGTGAATGTATGTGAATGCTTTCATATTAAATTTCCATTCATTGCCCTTTCTGGAGTCAGAGTTAACTTTAGTTGTCGAGGATCTTCCAACAAACCTCGATCGGCGATTCACTGTTTCCGATTAACTTATACCACACAAAAGTGTCGTTTTCCTTCATTTTGTAATCAATGCATTTGGTCCAAAATTTCTTGTGGGAAGACGTCCTCACCCAAAACCAAGAGTAAATGTGTGATTCAATAGTTCCACCATTTTGAGCTTTGCATTTTTCAAAACAATAGTTCCGTTTACCTCTTGAAGGTCCGTGGCAACCACAACACTATACGGGACAAAATTATAACAGTACATAAATATTTCACAAATAGAGTTGTGCGAGAGCAATCGATCATCATAATTTTGCTTAGTCAGTGTTTTTAAATTTGCATGCATGGGTTTATAAACTGACCACGCGTTTCTAAGCCAAGTTCCCAACTGATTGATGAGATCTGAATTTGTGTTATGTTAACATATAAAGATAATTTGATCACAAAGGACTTAGTATATAAAATAATATCTTAGTTTAATACTAAAAATTGACAATGCGCAAATGGAAAGGCTGGGGAAAACGTCAATGGCAACGTAGGTATTAAAATACAATTGTACTTAGAAGAAATTAAAGGCGATCGCATGCAGAACACAAAAAAACCATTGCAATGATCATAACTAAGAATAATTAAGCATAACAATAGCAGAATTAAGCACGTTTACTGCAAAAAGCTTCGTCTACGCCCAGAATTTGTATGAGAGCATAGATGAAGGAGAAGATAATTTGTTTAGAATAATCATTTTTGGGGTGTTTGGACGTTACAGAACTTTAAATTATTCTCGAGACATGAAAGAATGAGGATACTGCAGCGAATGTATCTTTTAACCACAATTTAATATCATAAATTATGCGCATTCTCTTTACTTATTCTGTCTGTGCCAAACGCTAGAAAGACAATACGATACTAACGTGTCCTCGGCTGCACCCAACTTGGGCCGTTGCTCCGTATTCGATTCCGGAAATGTTTTTTGTTGCACTATAACTAAAAAATGAAAATAATAAATATAGTAAAATTTACTACATATGTTTTATTGGGTGATAAAATTTATCCAAGAAACGTCCAAGGGCTATATACAGTTTACAAACAATAACAATATAGCTTATGAAAGTCGTCTGTTTTTGACTGGTGAAAAACGTGGTTAAATGAGTTTTATACTGTACACTTGCCCCAGTAGATATAATAGAAAAGAGTACAAATAGATTTACCTGAACGATCCTGAATAGTCTTGCTGAATGGGATATCTCCGGTGAAATGCAAATCCATACGGACATGGTTTTTCAAGACATGAATTCATCATTGTCTAAAAGTTATATATGGCAGTCGATTGTTGAGAGTAATTAGTAAAAATAAATAAAACGTCAGGTTTTTTCGGTAAATCACATTATTTACCGATCATAGAAAAAATGACGTAGCGAAAAGCATTCCAAATGCATGTAAAGCATTTTTAGTTGTCAAATTAAAAGATGTGCGAGGCTGGGAACATATACGTACCCAACCAATTTTCGTATAGGGATGATAACCAATACCAAACTTTGAACATCGAAATTGAGTGGTAACTGTATGTCCAGTTTCTAAGTTTTTCACGTATTTCACATTTCCAATGCCCGGGGAAAAGCTTGAACAACCACCTTTAATTATCATAAGATTCTTTAACTTGCGCGGAGTTTTGAATCTGTAAGCCCTGGAAATATAGAAATTAAAATTAATAATGAATTCCACTGTTAAAGCTATTAATCTAAGGCCCCGTCAAGTCCTTCCAAATGTAGTTTTTGAATATACTAAATGAAAAGAAAAATGGGAAATGTCGTGTTATTAAAAAACCCGACGCTTTGGACAGTCATGTTTCTGGCGTAAGTATACTTCTTTGAAAAGTGCTAAAAGCATTACTGAATGCTCTAGTAACCATGAAAATAATAACCTATAAAAAGACTCATATGACGCTAATATAGTAATATTAAGTTGAGTATAAGCAACGAGACTTAAAACAGGCCTCATTAAGTTAAAATAAACACGATTTGATACGTTACGGTATCATTTTCAAACTTATCCGGCAACGCTGTCCACACGTATCCGCTCAGCCGTCTTTTTCAAATTCTTTCACTCTGCACAAGAGCGTGTCTGCGTGATTCTTCCGTTTTCAGTGAGCGAAAATGTCGGATACGTGTGGACGGTAATCTAAGACCCCGTCAAGTTCCTTCTAAATGTAGTTGTCGAGTATACTAAGTGAAAAGAAAAACGGAAATTATTTTACGGTGTGACCCAGAAAATATTCTTGCGTTTTCGAATTCTTCCCGCACCGTTTGGTCAGTGCCAAAGAATCCGATATTGTATTGAAGATCAGATAACCCTTCGGTAGTACTAGCTGTTGCGAAGTTCTTACCAATGCGCCTTCGTCTTTTGAAAATCCTCTTCGGAAGCCATCTGAACTCTGAAATCAATAACATCAGTGTTTCCGAGCGCGCTACACCAATGGGGTTTGCCAAATGGTTCAACTGCATCGTCATTAGATGGAACTGCCCATATGCCGGAACTATTCGTTCTACCGATAAGAATATATCCTCCACCATCAGTTTTCATGTCACACCAAGCCTTTTGAAGAAGCAACAAAATAATTTGCTCTGCGAAGTAGGAAATTCTTACAATCTCACTTACTCAAAACTTTTAGCGTAAATTAAGGCTTTGAGGTTACCCTGGGCCTGGGAGGATACTACATGGTAATTTACAGTTGGTAGGGTATTTAGTAGACATTTCTTGTGACATTGATATTCTGTTAGATTCTTGGATTAGTGCAATTCAGCATCATGATGAGAATAATAAGCGTGTACTACAAAATTTCTAATTGTGTGGAACGAGGTTCGTCTTATATATACATGAACTAATAGACTACCAGTAGAGATAAATGTAGCTAGATTCCGTTGCAATTTGAATAAGAGATTCCATAAAAAAGCTAAGTGGCTGACTTTAAGTTTAACTAAAATAATTAATATTGAAGTGATGCATTCAATTGTATGTACATTGAGGATGGAGTGCAATGCATCTATATATTGCAAAATATTAGTGTTGTGCATCCAATACAGTAGCAGAAAGGAGTGCTGTTTGTGCATTTCTTGCCAAGGATGTCAGATCAAATTGTCACTTTGATATATACTATTATGGCAAAAATTTAAAAATGAAATTTGACTATTGAGTGGCAAGAAAATAAATATTTACAATATAAACTTTCAAGAAAATCGTTTTAAGCTTTTTCAGAACTTACAAGACAAAAATTATCACGCAACTATTATAAACCCCAAATAGTCGAGAAATAGTAGGCCTATTTACATAATTATCACAATTCACGAATGCCGTACTTTGTTATAAACGTGACATATATTACTATTGTATGTATCAGTGCTGGTATAATAATTATATCGATTGTGAGTGCAGTGTTCTAGTTGCGATGAAAGCCTTCAAAAAACTTCTTGTATTATAGCATTGATTCGTATTGTTTGTAATGTCAGTGGATATTCCACACATACTCACGTATTTGAGTATCCTTATAAGTGTTGCTTTCATATAGGAATTTAAAAGTAAACATTGCACCAACCGATAATGCAAACGTTGCACCGTGTTAATGTGTTTTGTGCATATATATTTTGCATCCTTCGTATTGTTTTTAAAACGTGGCTTAGATTTCGATAAGTGCACAATACATCACTGGGTCATCAAGGTCCAAAACGCGACCTATTCCATGGGGCTAAGCAAGATATCTGAATTATTCACCCGAGGTTATTGTTTCCTACCAATGCAAACTTCCCCAATTCAGGCTGTGTTAGCCCGTTTTCACAAAAATAAGAAAACCTGTTTCAGTCTTTCCTAATTTTCTTTAACGTTTTATATACTTGTTAAAATTTGAAAAAATAATTGTAATAAATTCATATTTATAATCGTATAAATAACATATCGGTTGGATTGAAATTTCTGCATCCTGTGATTTCAGGCGGGATTATAAGATTAAAAAAATATTAAGAAATGTCTGTCAGACCGAGTAAGGCCGAGGTTAAACCTCCGTCTCTCCGCGGTTCAACCGCGATCAGACCGAGGTTTGACTTAGGTTAACAGCGGTTTGTATTTCTGCATGGACAGTACTGTTGCTACTACAACTGGATATTTGAGATACCTTCTTTGGTTTTCTGTTGTTCAGTGTTATCCAGTAAAATCCATCTTTGGCTTCAGGATTAACATCCAATATTGACATGCAATCGTGTCCTGGATTAGATATTTCTCCAGTCTGACCATCTAAGGTAAAGTTAAATTAAAGGAATAGCTGTAAGTAGTTAGATTATGAAACACGAAATGCGAATGACACACTATTGCCTCCCAGTACGAAACAATTTTTTTGCAAAATCCGTAATATAGAAGTAGCTTAGTTTCTAGAGATATGCGTTCTAAGCGACAGTATGGGTATAGCAAATTTGGATACTTTTCGTGTTTGGTGTAACTTTGGTCTAGCGTATCTTCCCAACCGCGTGTTTGTCCTTCATAAAATATTATTTTCCTAAAATTCGTTTTTTGCAAAATCCGTAAAATAGAAATAGCTTGTTTTCTAGAGATATGCGTTCTAAGTTACAGTATGGGTATAGCAAATTTGCATACTTTTCGTGTTTGATGTAACTTTGGTCTAGCGTATCTTGCAACCGCGTGTTTGTCTTTCCTAAAATATTAATTTCCTAAAATTCGTTTTACCATCGTTTGTTGTACTCCATCCAAATTTTCCTTCAACTTCACTGCAGACCAATAAAGTGTTCTTTCCTTTACGATCATTGACCAAAATTAATTCCCCAAAATTTCTTTCATTGCATGGGCCAAGTTTAGATTCCGTTGTAACTTTTATTTTCTGTAAAATACACAGACAAAGAAACAATTTTTTTTAGAAAAGTGATGGAATGTACAAATGTCCGGAATGTGGTGTATTTTGTTTTTCTTCGCTTAAGGTGGCTCCCTACCGTTTCTCGAAATTTTTAGATTCACATTTCAAACGGGGATATTCAGCATCTAAACGTTTGATTAGAAGACTAAAATTTTATGTAACTTTCTGACATCATACCTAAAGCCGAAATCTACTCAAAACTTGTACCTGGCAGTCGTTGTTATAGCAAAACAGACATTTCAAAATTAATAGCCGCTAAAAAGCATTTAATCGAGTTTTTATCGAGTTTGGTGACCACCAATTTTTTTTCCATCACAATTTTACTCCATAGATGGTTTATAGTAAAGTTTTAAAAATATTTTGTCTGGTGCGATTTCTTTAAAGGGCTAAAAGGGTTTTTTGAAGGGTTTTTTGCAATAGAAAAAATCGCACTAGACAGAATTTTTTTAAAACTTTACTATCGATAAACCATCCATGGTGTAAAATTATGATGAAAAAAAAAATTGGGGGTCACCGAACTCCTTTGCGATATAAACTCGATTAAATGCTTTTTAGCGGCAATTTGAAACGTCTTTGTTGCTATAGCAACGACAGCCAGGCCCAAGTTCTGAAAAGATTTCGGCTCTCGGTATGTTGCCATTAAGATATATAAAATTTTAGTCTTCTAGTCAAACGTTTAGATGTTGAATAATATCCCTGCTTAAAATGTGCAATAAAACTTTCGAGAAACTGTAGGGAGCCATCTTAAGGTGGCCTAGAACACTGAAAACCCATTCAAAAAATACTGCAAAATTTTTATTTGTTGGACGTTCAGATCCGAAGTAAAAATATTAAAATTAAATAAAATGAATTCCATCGTTTTAACGTTAAAATAAACCTGGTTAGTTATTTTGTTTACAAAAATCATTCATTTTCCATCATTGAGTGTGTCTGGTGTTTTCTTTACTATGGTGACTGCACATTCATACAACTTCTTTTTAGCTCAGTTTAATTAGCTTAGTAATGTAGAAAGAATAATCTAAAAGTTTTTAAAAATGTTACCCAATCAAAGATGAAGCATTCTTTTTAACTGCAGACCCTTAAAATATCTCTTAAAATACCTTAACATTTGAAAATCAATTCCTGACGTAAAATTGGACGAAGGGGTCAGTTTTTCGGCTTCTCTTGCCTGAAAGTTTTTTCGATATTTCTATTATTGTGAAATAATATAGTCGATGATGCGATAATTCATATCATCTTGTATGTTTATATAAAAAAATATCAAAATATCAAAATAATCCTGAAAATGTGAACTAAATCACTGTAACCCCGTTATTTTGTAGATTAGGCCGCTTTGATGTGTAATATTTATTAACAAAAAAATCACATTCATTTTGAAGTGAATATCATAGCGAATTGGCAACATATCGATCTAAAAAAGTATCCGCTGAGGACAATTTCCTCATAAAAATGGTTCAATTTTTATTAATTTCGGTCAAGTATTTGCACAGGAGTCGCAAGTGTTTGAGACAAGACTGAGATAATTTAATTAAGAAGAATTAGAACTGCATCAGGGTGTATATAACCCCCGATTTATGTGTGATGCGTTGGGACTTCGGCTTATTTTAGCACATGCGAGCAAATATGGCGTTTTAAGCAACTGGTTCGAAGATTTGTCAAACAGTTTATATATACTGTAGGTACCATATTCATCCTGACATTA